TTTCCTGCATGCAATGATTTAAGTTATAGAAATGCAATGTTCTAAAGAGAAATAAATTTTCAAAATACAAACACTATAGTAGAACAAAGTGTGTCTACTAAAAGAACAATGACAACAACACTATAATCACACAACAATAAAACCACAGAAACACAACAATAAATCTGTCTTCAACAATACAATGACACAACAATAAAACTATAATAATACCACAATAACCCCACAATAACACCAACATCCCTCATTAATAAAGATAACGCGAGAATACTGGCAAGATAATACCGTGGTAACACTTAACACCATTACGCCTAAATGCCAGCATAACATAAACAGTTACAACGATAAAAACTTCAAATAAACTGAAACCACAAAAGTAACACTCCGGTAAACTGATAGAAACAACTGGTTAAACACAAGTAATGAGACAAATGCCATAAATATCTCTCCGATAAACAACTAAAGTAACTATTAAATCAACTAATTAAACCTTCGATAAGCGCAGACAAATGCGAGAAATATCCACTAAATCAAAAAATAAAACTCGCACAAACCCTAGAACCCAAACCACAACAATGTATTTAAGATAAAAAAAAAAACATTCTGAGCGAAGCTAAACTCACTTGGATCTGGAAGTCGTTGTCGTTGTCTTCGTCGAGAGAGTAATCCATTTCGGCAGCTCCAAACCCTAAAGTGGGAAAATAAAGTGGAGGGAAAACCCGGGAAAGGGCCTTTATGCTTTTCATTTTCCGAAAAAAGGAGGGTCGGGTCGGGCCGCGGGAGTTAAAAAATAAGGAATTTACATATTTTGCAGTAGTGGGCCGGATTCCACGTGGCATTTTTTAATTGGTTACCGCTTGCAGGCTTCCATACGTTGCACGTATGGAATAATTTTTCCTCTATATGGACTAGGTCACTTATGTAGGAGAGATAAATATAGGTGCTATGGGCTTCATTAAGTGGGCTCAGTTCAACCACTTCAGTAGGTGAGCTCAGTTTAGCCACTTCGACAGGTAGGCTCAGTTCATATGGCTCGTTGGCATCCATGTCAGTCTTCGTATGAAAAGCCTTATTTAGTTATTTAATCGTATTTGTGTATACAAAACTTATTGATTTATTTATTTATATCTCTAATCGCTGCATCAAGCGCTGTTCGACGGCAGTGTCAGATTTACATTAAATAGAATTTATCAAATCCGATAACTCCGACGAAGCGTGACAGGAGCGAGGGTCGCAAGTAACATAACATCGACCTAATTTTATTAAACCTGCCTCACAACCAGACTTAATAAATATAAATTTAGGTAAAATAGTAGAAATAATGGAGATACTGAGATTTAAGGGACTACTATAAAATTAGATTTCTAATTAATGAACTTTATGGAGTCACATTCATGAACTTAACAAGAACTATGGAGTATCTTGGGGTAAAAGTAAGAAAATTATATTGTTGGGCTCTAAGGAGTACTTATCTCATATTCAACTATTATTTTACTCAATTTTAGAGAAATTACAAAATAAAATAGAACCAATGCTTTGTTCTTATTGTGTTACAAGCTTTTCCTAAGGATGCTACTTTTGTAATTATCCCCATCACAATTTATACAAAGATGGAGAAGATTTGTTTTGAAGGACATGTTACTGAAGATTTGTCTAAGGTAGAGACTAGTTAAACTCAACTTGACACTAAGAAAATTGGATGACAGGATAATAGATATTTTTGAGAGATTGGAGTAGATGCAGCTCATTATATGAGTGGTATGAAGTAAGTATTATAGAAGACACTACATGAATGAAAAAAATGAGCCATTCCTTCTTTGTTTAAAGAGTGTGGCTAGAGAACAAATGTGAAAATGTTCTATTGATCCAAGTAATCACGAATACATTGTTAGG